ATAATTTATACAAAATATTAATAATCAATGTCTGAAAAGCTACCTTTATTTATTTATTTATTTGCATAATTTACATATACATGCTATCATACACAAAGGGGTATAATAAGAAATATTAGAAAAATAGGTCCAAAATATTTGATAAAAAGCAATTAATAATCAAATGTAATTGATCTAATATTAAAGCTTATTTATTTATTTATTATCATTTACATATTTTATCATACACACAAACGGTAATGGAAACAGAAATATTAATCTAAAATATTTATTAAAAAAGCAATATAAATTTAAAAAATAATTTATAAAATGTATAAAAACCAGTCTTAAGTCGCTTGGGTATATTTTTAGCAATAGCCAAAAAAACATTGTATGGGTCAAAATTATCGATTTTTCTTTTATGCCAAAAATCATTAGGATATTAAAGACACAAAATACACCCACCAACAGACTCTCTGATCATCACTATTTCTCAACACATTTACAGTTTTCATAGTTGTAGATACATGACATTAAATTGAATTGAGAATAAATTGAATTTGAATTGAGCTAGTAAAAAAAAATGCAAAAAGCATAACTGAAATAGAATTAATAATCAGAAATATTAGAAATATAAATCTAAAATATTTGTTAAAGCAGTAAATCATAATAACAAAATGTATATGAAAATGTAAATATACTAATAATCAATGTTTGAAAAGCTACATTTATGTATTTATTTATTTACTTACTTACACATGTTTCATACACCAGGGGTATAATAAGAAATATTATGTATATATATATATATATATATATATATACATATAAAATATTTGTTTAAAAAATAAAAAATAATTAAATATAATTTATACAAAAATATATCAAAGCTTAATTTTTGATTAGTAATATGCATTGCTAAGAACTTCATTTGGACAACTTTAAAGGCAATTTTCTCAATATTATGATTTTTTTGCACCGTCAGATTCCAGATTTTCAAATAACTGTATCTCGGTCAAATATTGTAACCATACATCAAACCATAACAAACAACAACAAACCATACATCAATGGAAAGCTTATTTATTCAGCTTTCAGATGATGTATAAATCTCAATTTCGAAAATTTACCCTTATGACTGGCTTTGTGGTCCAGGGTCACATATAAGATATAATTATATAAGATAGATAGATAGGTATGATTTATAGAAGTTAGGGTTAGGGTTTTATAATCAATGTTTGAAAAGCCACCTTTATTTATTTAATTATTTTAACTTTTATTTTCATGGTCATGTTATGGCTCATGGCGGAAGAACATTTCCTAGAATACAATATCTTTTCCATTTTGTTGTGTTAGACTAATTAAAAATGAAGTTGTGTGACTGTTACACTGCAGTAAATTTAATTTCCATTTGCAATTTCATTCGTTCCAATTCAACATCCTGTGAGACAGGGCCAGTTTAATTCAAATTCCAAGTCACAAATTTAAAGGGAACCAGTTCTTCAAATCAGAATTTTGCTCAACAGAGCATTCAACAAGTTGTCTTTCTTTCTCCATTCTGAAACAGATGCACAGTGATTGCCGTATGACGCTTTTCGAGTGTGAGAACATGACTGGAAGGCAGTGGGATGTGTGCAATGACTACCCCTCCCTGCAGGCTATGGGATGGTGCAGCAACGAGATCGGCTCCATCAAAGTCATGAGTGGAGCGTAAGTACGATTGCCCAGAATGGATTTTAATCACCTGATCATTTTGTTAGGGTCAAACATTTTTGGTCCAAAAATGGAGGCTGGTTTTCTGTTTTTATTTTTATTTTTTTTTACTTATGTTGCTTTTGACCTGTATCTTAAAAAGGCTGGCGTCACTGTATTCATCACTGCATTCATCAACGTTTGAGATATCAAATACTCCACTTGGCCTCCATGGTAACATGCTGCCTCTCTGTTCCTATTTCTCTAGCTGGGTATGCTACCAGTATCCTGGTTACCGTGGTTACCAGTACATTATGGAGTGCGACTGCCACGGAGGCGAGTACAGGCACTACAGGGAGTACGGTTGCCATGCTCAGACCCCCCAGATCCAGTCTATCCGTAGGATCCAGCATTGAGAGGAACCAGCCGTGTCCTTCCTCCCTTCCCTCCCTTCTTCCTCCTTCTGAGCCCTTCAAACTTCCACTTCCTCCATCCCTCCGTTCCCAGCCATGCAAGATGGTTTGTTGACCCAGACGGCAGGCTGGTATACTGGTGCTACACTAATGTAACAAGTTCACAGCATGTTTTTTACCAACTACACTAGGAAAGAAAGACAAACTATTGACGGCAGGAATGATTAGAAAAAAAAGCAGAAGAAAAAGTCCTGTATGATGACAGCCGAAAAGGACGTGGTGCGGTGAGAAGCCGGGAGCGTTGCTCTTCTTTCGTCATGACTTGATCATCATGATCATAGCCAATGCAGTTTTCATGGTCAACTTCTGTATGATATTTGATGAATAAAGAACATGAGCATAACATCTAAAGAAACGACAACAAAAAAAACAGAATAATTGATATCAGCTAACTGTGGTGTGTGGATCTTTACTGACCTTAAGTGAACATTAGAACAAACTCTGAACTCTCACATCAGTCATTTTTAGAAAAGGTGTAATGAATTGTTTAACATTAAAATTTGAAATGAAAAGATATAATGTCTCAGAATATATGTTAAAGGTGACATATCATGAAAATCTGACTTTTCCAGGTTTTTAGTGCTATAATCAGGTCCCCGGTGCATCTACCAACCAAGGAAACGTGAAAAAGATTAACCCAGTCACTTTGTTTTGGTAAGCCTTTTTCTGCAAGCGTCTGAGAAAACGAGCGCGTCTGATTTCGCTACCTTGGTGACGTGGCCAAGGGATCTCATTATAATATTACCGCCCCTTAATCTGTAAGTTTACACCCACTGGCGGTGTTATTGTGTTTTCGCAAACGACAACGGTGTATTAGTTCTAATGCCACGGCAAAAGTTTGAGCAAAACATGCTAACTGTTCTGTCTTTGGCTGCACAGACGAGCACAAAAAACTATTTAGAGTCCCAGCCTCGGAGGAGACAAGAGAGCAGTGGATTTATTGATTTATTTAATGTATATTGCTGCTGCCAAACAGATCTAAAATAAACATGCGATTGATTTCCCGGCAGTTTACCTTCACAGACATAACCAACTCATCAGAACCAAAACAGATGTTTTTAGCAGGTACGAGCTGTTATGGCACAGCTCTATTCTGGAAAAGGAGGTGGGGAGCAGCAGCTCATTTGCATTTAAAGAGACAGGCCCGAAAAACAGCGTGTTTCTGCTTCCACTCAAAATAGGCATTTTCAAAATGATATAATAAATGATCTGTGATTTCACAGACACATTCTGGGGGCACCAGAGACTTATATTACATATTGTAAAAAGGGGCATAATATGTCTCCTTTAAAACATAACAAGGACAGCCTTTTGTACTAACTATATCAAAATGGCAACAGATGGGCCTCACTAAATTACTTTTCAGATGCTACTTTATCAACATCCTTTCAGATGCTACACATAAAATGACTGTAAATGTGATCATGTGAAAACATCACAAATACAAAAAAAAACAGAAAAGGAAGTTTTCATTTGTTGCTTCTATAAGCATCCCCCTATGTGTATTTTTTGTAGGAAAAATATGTCTAAAAATCTCTCTAAATGCATAAATATAAGTGTGTGTGTAATATATAAACATTCTCCAGATAATAATTTAATAATTTATTTTTTATTACAGTGTTCATATAAACAAGGTTAACAATGTACTCCTTATATTTACGTTTTTTTGTTTTAACAAAAATATATAGCTGCCTTTGTATTTTAGGAAGTGGGCCTTTGGGCTCATTTTACATTATACATGTATATATATTTAAATTAATCTTGATGATCTTGATATACATTTAACATAATCTTGAAAATTGTATGGAAAATTGACAACCACCCCTTAACAAATGGCAGTGGTTTAATCCAGGTTTTGGTTTGACCCTGTGCAAATCAATTTTATACTAGGCCTAATTATACCAAGTGGAATCTATTAGTGTCCCTAATTTTGATTCAAAGCGTTTAACCTGCTCATTGACAGACCAGTGATGAACAATTTATGATGGCTCAACAAAAAGGCAACTAACGATAAAACGATTAAAGAAACGATTTTTAAAAATTTATCTACTGTTTGAAAGCTACTACAAACACACAATGCGTATTTTGTGGCTCATTTTAATAGTTCCGCTTCAAATACTTGGTTTGAGACGCACCAACAAAGTTTATGAAGAAACATACAAAGTATATTACAACTACGCTGACATGACCGATCGTCTTCAGCGTTTTTCTCAAAAATACGCGCATATTTGCAGCCTCGTGAGCATAGGACAGTCTGTCGAGGGAAGGGAGCTTTGGGTCACGAGAATAACAACGAGTCCGACGGCGGACGTACCGGGCAAACCGAGGTTCAAGTATGTGGGCAACATCCACGGGGACGAGGCTTTATCAAGGCAGCTGTTAGTGTATCTGATCGAGTACCTGTTGACTCAGTATGGCCGTGATGTGAGAGTAACAGAGCTGGTGGACCGGACGGACATCTATATAATGGCCAGCATGAATCCTGACGGCTTTGAGCACGCGGTGGAGGGGGACTGCATCGGCAGCAGCGCGGGCCGCGAGAATGCCAAACATTATGACCTCGATAAGAGTTTCTCAGACGAGGATAAGCACTTCAGGAAGACTTCAGAAGACATACCGGAGGTCACAGCTGTCATGCAATGGATTCTTGAGAAAAAGTACGTTTATTGTTTTGTAGTTTTAATAGTCTATATTTTCACTTGCAAAATTATTGAATTCGAAAATAGTTTTGAAGGCAACCATTTTTATTATTATTATTTATATAAATTTACAAATGTTTTAACCAAATCATTTGACACTGACAACCTCAATGAACCTTGCCATTAAAATCTATGTCGTTAAAAATTATTTGATATTTATTATTAGGATGGTCAACAAGAGTATTCCCTTTTGATTTTCTTGTCACATAGCTAATTGGCTGACTGCAAGATGGTTATCACACTAACTTTGATTTAGCTAACAAAAATAATTTTAAACATTTTAAATTATTCTACATTTTAAGCCACATTGACATTTTCAGAGTTTTCAGTTGACTTAAACTAAATTCAAACTATTTAAAAAAAAAACTTAAGTAAAAATAATTTTTATTTATATATATATATATATATATATATACACACACACACACACACACACGTTGCCTTAGCAACTAACAAAAATTGTTGAAGCACTACATTTACTAACTGGGAATTAATAAAAACTAAAACGAAACTAATGGAAAAAAAATAAAATCAACCTAAATGGTAATACTTAAAAAAAATTATAATAAAAAAACACATTTAAATAATGAATGACAAAAACACACAAAATTGCTACAAAATTTAACTAAAATTAAAATGAAAATATAAAAATAAAAATTGAAATATCACATGGTCCTAAGTATTCAGACCCTTTGCTGTTTCCGTACCCACTGTAAATGATTAAAATTAATTGATCCAGGCAAAAAATGAGCATCACTTCATATCAGAGTTAACTGCTTTTTTTTTTAATTGAGAAATTGGTGTAACGTTTTATACTAGCTTGGAAAACATGAATCTCTAATTATTCAGTGGTGAAACCAATTATTCAGTGGTGTAATGTTCTCTTGCTTCTGATCTGAGATTTTCACAAGTCATGCTTGTTTCCTCTGTGTTGTCTTTTCAAGGTTTGTCTTGTCTGGCAGTCTACATGGGGGCTCAGTGATGGCCACCTACCCCTTTTATGATGGCAGTTCTTATGTAACCTCAGGGCTGACAACAGATGATGCTCTGTTTCGCCATTTAACACGCACCTACACCGAGAACCATCCCATTATGAAGATGAACAATCCTGACTGTCCTGAGGATCCAAACAAAAGCTTCGGAGATGGTATCACAAACTGTTTGATATTAAAATCATGTCTTGTACTTAAGTGGAAATCCGTTGAGCTTTGATTTGGTGTCCTGTGTGTGCACAGGGGGAATGCAGAATTACAACTACTTCAAAGGGAACTGTTTTGAAGTCACTTTTGGATTGAGCTGCTGCAAGTATCCACCAGCTTCTCAGCTTTTCATAGAGTGGACCAACAACAAGGAGGCCCTTCTTGCCTACATACACCAAGTGAGTTGATTTGAATATTTTATGTAGTCCCATGAATGGTCTAACAAACCTTATTCCATTTCTGTTTTAGGCTCATATTGGTGTAAGAGGTTTCGTAATGACCAGATCAGGCTTTGGTCTCCCAAATGCAACAATCTCCATTTCTGGAACTGATCACAACATCACAACCTGGATGTTTGGTGATTATTATCGCCTGCTGCTGCCTGGAAGATATGACATCACTGCTAGCTCACCTGGGTGATTATAAGTAGATGCATAAAGAATAAAGAGATGGAATAGGTCCAGTTTAATGGAATTGTTTCCACATGTTTCCTTCAGATTTCTTTCAAATACTGTCAAGAATGTGCCAGTGATTGAAGGCAAAGCCACACTGTTAAACTTCACTCTTGAGGGGCCTGTAGAGGAGATGTTATTGCTAGATCCTTCTGAACAACCTATGATTACCAATGACCGTCTGAGCACACCAGGGCCTCCCACCTCAAGGTCTCCAATCCATACTCTGGATTTCCAACATCATAGTTATGATGATATGGAGATGTTCTTGCAACTGCTTAGTGCTATCCATCCTTCCATCACTTACCTGAAGTCTGCTGGACGATCAGTGCAGGGCAGGAATCTTTATGTGATGGAGATATCCACCAATCCTGGTGTTGATCAGCAAGGTGCAATTGCGTATGGTCACATACTTTTACACACATATACATAATAAAAAAACATAAATGTCTCTAGTGATCACCACTTTACTTCAACCAGGCAAACCAGAGGTCATGTTTTTGGGTAACCTGCATGGAAATGAGTTTATCGGTCGTGAGATTCTCCTAAACCTGGTTGAGTACTTGTGCCGCAATTATGGAGAAGATCCATTGGTCACACGTCTGGTCAATAGCACAAAAATTCACATCATGCCTTCCATGAACCCAGACGGGTATGAATTAGCACTAAAAGGTACAAGCAAATATATTGGCAAGTTGTTTCATTCTTGTCTTCTGTATTTACCCTGATTTTCTTCTCGTAGCTCACAAGAAACGGGTCTCAGGAGACCTGAGCATTATCGGACATGGTAACAGTCACCATGTTGACCTGAATGCAAATTTCCCTAAACAGCCAAGATCGGGAAATGATGTTGAAGCAGAAACTAGAGCAGTGATAAACTGGATCAAGGCCCACTTCTTTGTGCTGTCTGCAAGTATTCGTGGAGGTACAGAAAGTGGCTTGGGTTTGTCTTAAAATGTCAATTTGTTTTTTAAAATAATAAAACTGAACTGCTACTGTTTTCTCTAGGGTTTAGGGGAGTTGTGTACCCGAGTTCCCTTGACTCTGTTGATGAGGACATGTTTAAATCAGTTGCAGAAGCCTATTATGTGGTATGTATGTGCTGTGTATATATCATGAATTATGTAACATTTGTGACATTTTATTTAACGGACTAAATCATCAGCAGAAAACGTGTAGAATATCATTGTTTTCTGTAATGCTTGCATCACGAGCCTTTCTCAAATTGTCCAATACTGTTGTCATTTCTTTCCAGAAATCCCAGGCTTTTCAAGAACCTCAGGCATGTGATGTGCCAAGATCCAGAGAGAAAAAAGGAACTAAGCACCATCGTCCAGTAGTCACCGGTCAGACTAAAGCATAATCACTGATTTAAGGGAAAACTAAATCAGAACTTACCTTATTTACCATTTAAATGTTTGGGGTCGGTAAGATTATCATTATTAGTAGTAGTTGTTATCGAAAGATATCTCTTATGCTGACCAAGGCTGCATTTATTTGTTCAAAAATACAGTAAAATAGTAATAGTGTGAAATATTACAATTTAAAATAACTGTTTTCCATTTTGTTATATTCATAAATGTCATTTTTACCTGTGATGTCGAAGCTTAATTTTCAGCAGCCATTACTCCAGTCTTCAGTCACATGGCCCTTCAGAAATCATTCAAATATGTGACCCTGGACCACAAAACCAGTCTTAAGGAAGAACTTCATTTGTACAACTTTTAAAGGCAATTTTCTCAATATTTAGTTGTTGTTTTTTTTTGCACCCTCAGATTCCAGATTTTCAAATAGTTGTATCTCGGCCAAATATTGTCCTATCCTAACAAACCGTAAATCAATGGAAAGCTTATTAATTCAGATGATGTATAAATCTCAATTTCGAAAAATTGACCCTTATGACTGGTTTTGTGGTCCAAGGTCACATATGTTGATTTGGTGCTCAAGAAACGTTTTTTTATCATCAATGTTGAAAACGGTTGTGCCGTTTAATATTTTTGTTGAAACCATGATAGGCTTTTTTAGGATTCTTTGATGAATGGAAAGTAAAAAATGACAGCATTTATTGGAAATAGATCTTTTGTAACATTATAAATCTCTTTAATGTCACTTTTGCCTTTTTGCTGCATAAAAATTATTAGTTTCTTTAAAAATCTTTTTGAAGGATATGGTCATTTTTATTTTTCCTGTTTCACATGAAAATCGACACAGTTTTTGCCTTTTGCATAATGGTAGGAACTGATATGCTGACTTGGGCGTATCGCAGCACAGACACTTTAGCCGTTAACATCGGTCTGAGCTGTGAACTGCTTCCACCAGAGAAGTTGCTCTCAGAATACTGGGAGAAGAATCACAGAGCGCTCTTGCACTTTATACAACAGGTGATTTATTTTTGATCATGATCAAGACGGTCTTTTCTGGGTGAGCTATTCCATTTAAACCTTTGCATGGTTTGTGTGATGTCCCATATGTCAGGTTCATTTGTTTGTGAGGGGTATGGTGACTGATGGTCAGTCTGGCAAAGGCATTGCTAATGCCACAGTCATGGTGGAAGGCTCAAGCCATCATGTCCACACCAGCAGCACGGGCCAATACTGGAGACCTCTGGCTCCTGGTTCTTACCATATCACCGCATCTGCTTCAGGGTGAGGCCTCACACTTCACAAGAAATGGAAACTAACAGAATGCCAGTTGTAAAATGGGTCAGCCATTATATGTCCTGTGATCTATCCACAGTTATACTCCAATGTCGGTATCTGTCCATGTGTTGGAGACTCGGGTGGAGCAGGTGGACTTCAGGCTGACCAGAGATACGTTGCAGCCATCTGTAGAGGAAGGAGAACAGAAGGACTTTGAGAAACTGATGGAGTGGCTTTTAGCCCCTGGTGAGTTGGATCAGTTGATCCGCAGCCTTATCCCTGCTCAGACCTTGCAGTACCGAACCTACAAGGAACGCTCGGAGTTCCTGCGAGGATTGACCTTCAACTTCCCTCACATCACACGGCTATACAGGTATGTAATCCTGAAGATATCTTTATCCAATGATTAGTGGCGCTTGCTAAGGACCAAAGATTTGAGATGTTTTGACTTGAGCAACTATCTAGAACAGCTTAGGCAAAACGTCTAGTCCAAACATCTTCATGTACGTAGATCATGGGTATTTATTGACTTGATAAGTTGGAAGGTAAATGATGTTGTGAATCTTCAATTGTTGTTGTTCCCTTCCTGGGGTCAGTTTGGGTCAAAGCACTGAGTTTAGAACTATCTGGGCTCTTGAGATTGCTGGCAATTTGAAGTTCCCTCAACCTGCTGAACCCAAGATCCGTTTTGTGGCCGGAGTCCATGGTAATGCGGCAGTAGGTCCGGAGTTGCTGCTCGAATTTGCTTCTTTTCTCTGCCTCAACTATGGCAGGAATCCTGCCATCACCAAGGCAAGCTTTACAAAACCTCTCAATAAACCATCCTTCCTCCATCAGTTTCAATTATTTAATTTGTAGCTTCATTCCAAACACTTGCTGTCTACTGCCTACCAACCATCCTATATCTTTTGTCTTTTTACTCCTATGTTATATTATTTCCATCACCAGTTTTGCAAACAAAGTTTCTAGGGGGATTGTAAAACGTTTGTGAATGAATGGAATGAAAAGTTTTTTTGAGAACGCAAAGCATTTGCGAGAGAATGTAAAACTTATGTGAGAGTACAGAAGTTCTGCAAACAAACACAAAAGCATTTAAATACAATGTTAGCACATTGCCAAGCTAACAAAATATATAGCACATCCAAAATATTGCATTAAAATTAGGGCTGTGCAATTAATCGAAAAACCGTTTCGATTTCGTTTTTGGCCTCCAACGATTATGAAAATACAGTAATCGAGAGAGAACGATTATTGCGCCCCATTCCGCCCCCTTTTCCAGCGCTGCGCTTTCGTTCCTCCATAAAAGCCCAGTTTCACGTGCAAACCAGTAAAATCATGTAACGTGACTTTTGCCAAATGGGACGTGCTTGATTTATAGAAGTATATTTATTCATGTTTTTAAAAGCGTGAAAGAGAACTTGCGCTGCTCCTCAGGAAGATATATGCGCTCAGAGACGGAACAGAACACGGACATGTAAAGTCATCTTTTAGCTCAAGGTGCGCGCCTAAACGGTCAGATACACGTCAAAATGCGGCGCTTAGTGATTATTCATGTATACCTTCGTCGGTCATGTAATAAATGAACGTAAAGAGTTGAGAATGAAAATACGCGTGTAA